TTGAAGAGAAGTTGTTTTGTTTCTGTTCATTGTTTTATTTATTTTAAACAGGACATTTTTATTGTTTTGTTCATTTTAAACAGAATAAAGTGCCCAAACGCAAATTAAAAACTCCTGCTGAAGCGACTGATCTCCACACTGTTATAAAGATGCCGTTTATTAAAGAGGAGAGTGAAGATGTGAAGATTGAAGAAACATTCACAGTCAAACAGGAAGATCTGCAGGAACAAACAGGTTGGTTTTCATTCTCAAAGACCAACTAAATTAATCCATCTTGCAGCCCTGAGTGTACTGCCTAGTTCCCCTAAATGCACATAAGCACTCATTGAAAGACAGGAATGAGTTTCTTTTTTGTTACTTGTTCTTATGTCTTTTGTAATTTTTTTTTTTTTATGTATTATTAGGCCGTACTCACACTATGTACAGTTGCCTCGAACCGGTCCAAAGCACGCTTGTCACGCTTGTCCGCGGCTTTGGCGCGTTTTGCACTCACACTACAAGCGTACCGCGCCAAAACCCAAGTGAACCGCGCTCTTAAAGTTATTGCTTTTCTCGTTCTCCTACTGTTTGTTGCGTCCTTGAGCACTGGCGCTATATAAAATAAGTAAAAACATTCATTCCTTTTTTTTTTCGGCTTAGTCCCTTTATTAATCCGGGGTCGCCACAGTGGAATGGACTGCAAACTTATCCAGCACATGTTTTACGCAGTGAATGCCCTTCCAGCCGCAACCCATCTCTGGGGAAACATCCATACACACTCATACACTACAAACAATTTAGCCCACCCAATTGACCTGTACCACATGTCTTTGGACTGTGGGGGAAACCCACGCGAATGCAGGGAGAACATGCAAACTCCACAGAGAAATGCCAATTGACCCAGCCAATTTCCCCCGGGACACCAACAATAGGCGCTACGTCACAATCACACCCCCACAAGAGCAAGCTCCTGATTGGTTAATGCAGTGTGTATGTCCGCTAAAGTTCACATTTCTGAACTCAAGCATTTCACGTGAAACGCGCAAAACGCTCAATTCGCACCGCGTCATTTATGTGTATCGTGCCATTCACACTGCACCATTCGCATCAAAAGGAAAAAAAATGTAAATTATTTCAGGCCAGCAGATTCGTCAGATTTGAAAACGAGGAAAAATAATACTGATAATAATAGTACGGGGAGAAAACTTAACAAGAGAAACAAAATGAGAATTTGGGCAAAGAAAACAAAAACTTTTGCTTCTTATCCACGGAGCGGAGGGATCAAGGGAAATAGCGAATGTGGAGGTGTGGATGGGAAGGTTGAGGGCGTCATTGAACCCGGCCGATGTGTAGGCAGCCGACTCCATGCCAGCAAGATAAATTGGTAAGTTGATTTTGTTCAGGACACACTGCACTGAAGTCTTTGCCGACGTCACGAGCACTTCAGTAATAAGACAGCGGTCTTTGCTCTGTTGGTTTAATACATACTTTTGCTTTTTGTTTCTCACAGCCAGTTGTTAAGTTTACAATGCGTGTCTCGACCCGGTTTCTCTTCTTGTTTCCCTGCACTGGAACAGTTCAGTCAACCTCTTCAACTCTCCTCCTCTTCCATTATTCTCTCACCCATTTCCTTTTTGCCGTCTCATGGGTGGAGACCAATTAAACAATGTAGAGTGTCGTCACAGAAAACACCAACAATCATAAATGCATGATTATATGCTGTCATGGCTTTGCAATCAAAAAAATTTTGTTATAATAGAGGCAAATGGAGAAAAAACAGCCATGAATATAACGAAAAGGGAGTAAATTTGCCCAGAGTGTATTGAGTTTTTATTTTTTATTTCAAAGCATTTTTCCAGAATATGTCAAAATAAGATGTCCCCAAATAACAGTCCGTTTGCTGAAACAGAGAAAGTTTTGGCCAAATTAAGATTCAAAATCACCCCAGAATGGATAAAAATGACCCATCAGCACACAAAGGGAAAGGTGCACATTCCAGCCTTTATGCAGATGCTGTACAGGTGTGTCTCATGTCTGCGAGGCAAATATTCAGCTGTTTGTTCAGCTGTTACCCCAGAACTTTTTTTTGATGCGTTTACCAGTCAGGCACAGAATGAACAAGTGTTCCTTGTCTGCTTTACAAATTTTAGAAAAACATTTTGTTGTAATTATGAATAAATATGAATAAAATTAGGCCATTTACAGCTTTCAAATCGGTCTTATCAATATGACCAAAATGACTTATGATCAGTTATGTAAGAAACTCTGAAAACTGGACTGACACAGTTTCAATTTACTATAACTTAGGGATGTGCACATCGATTCTCGAGTATTGATATATCGATACTCAGAAGATTTTAATTTGGTATCGATATTTTTTTAAAGTATCAATATTTTAACTATATTTTAATAATTTCTGCATAACTAAATGTTTTGGCGCTGTGTACAGGCTTGTCAGTGACGCTTTGTATACAAGACGTTACACCAATCAATCTGCGGCGAAATATCACGTGAACGATCATGTGCCTTTCAGATAACTTATGTACTCAACACACGCAAGTCGCACACACTTTTGCATAATGGAATGACACGATGGCAGAGACATAACGCAGCGTGTTGTGGTGGTCTTCAGCTTAAAAAGCGTTGCACAAGCAATATTTGTTATTAGAAATTCAAACACAGCAAAAATACAAGCAGCCTTTATAGACACTTACAGAAAACAAGTGAAACAAAAACAAGATGCCCAGTGTTCCTCTGCTCAGTCTCCCTCTGACAAAAGACATAGAAGAGTTTTAAAGGAGGTAAACCTCTCCCTCTCTCTCTCTCAATTCAATTCCATTCAATGATTGCGTTATTGGCATGACAAATGTTACACATGTTTTGCCAAAGTATTAATAAAATTAACATTAAAACACACACACACACACACACACACACACACACACATATATATATATATATATATATATATATATATATATATATATATATATATATATATATATATATATATATAAGCTTAGTAAACAGAGCAAACAGTAGTATAGTATTTAAATATATAGTATAATAATAAATAAATACAAATTTAAAAAAATAAAATAAAATAATAAATCAGCTCTGTAAATCTTTGTCTCTTGTTACCATTAGGTGAATAAGAATAAATATAAGGCTGTGTGTGTATCTGTGCAGTGTGTATTTACAGTATGTATGTGTATGCAGTGTGTATATACAATATGGATGTGTATGGGTGTTTATATTACACACAAACACACACTACAGTATATATATATATATATATATATATATATATATATATATATATATATATATATATATATATATATATATTAGGGATGTAACGGTATTGTAAATACCGTCATACCGCAATATTAATTTTTTTCGATATTACCGTAGTCGCATGACTCGGTAAAACTATAGGTCTTCTGAGAAAATTTGCTCAGGCGAATGAAGCGAACGGGAGGTACCGGAAACTACAATTCCCATCAGCCCATGCTTGGCCATAATCCCTTGCGGTCTGTTGTCGCTACAGATCAAGTAATGCGGAAATGGAGTGTGCTGCTAGAAGCGGGGATCAAAAAGAGCAGGAAAACCCTAAAGCGGGTGTTGTTGCCGCGCGCGTACTGAATATCGGTGTTGTCGCGCGAGTTCTTATCAGCTGTCGCGCGCGTACTGTAAAGCGGGGACGGGGGGTATGTCGCGTCGCAGGGGCACTTTTGATCATTTTGGAAGGAAACTTTCTATCCAAGACTAAAAAGGGCATGTGCACTGCACAGGTTGAGCCCTGTGTGTGCACGTGCCTGCAAGTTGGGGAATACGTCCCCCAATACGATAATAATCAGTCATGGGGACTGCAGAAACACAGCACACTGATCAGATTGATGCAGACATGAGATCTCTATCTCACTCATGGTTTGTCCTCTCAAGTGGGGGAAAGACAATGCACAACGTTACCCACTGCTGTCAACCTGGGCCAAGTCATATCTCTCTGTCCCAGAAAACTCAGTCCCAAATGAGAGGGTTTTTTTTTCTGTTGCAGGGGACATTGTAAATACCCAGAGATACCAGCTCTTACCAGATTATATTTATATGATAATTTTCCTGTAAACCTATCTCTATCTAAGTGAGTGAGTGATTAAATGTTGAATGTGATGAGTTTTCAACACTACTAAATTGAAACTTAATTTTTTTACATGGTTTAATATTTTTTTGTTATTAAAATTGAAGTTCCTGTTTCAAAGCTTACAGATAGATGGCTAATTTGTATGTCATTGACACTTTTGGCACTTTTTTGGAGTATTTTCATAAGTTTTGTTTTTTCCTGTAAATGATTCAATAAATACCGTACCGTGACATTCATACCGAGGTATTACCGTACCGTGAAATTCTGATACCGTTACATCCCTAATATATATATATATATATATATATATATATATATATATATATATATATATATATATATATGTAATGGTTTTTTTAATTAACATCATTTTGAAAAATTACATTAATATTTTTTATAATAAGTGGTATCGATATCGGTATAGTAAAATTTTTAACAAGAACTATCGGTATCATATTGAATTTAAAAATTGTGGTATCGCCCATCCCTACTATAACTTATGTTAAGCGGCTTTGACAAAATTGACATTGTAAAAGATACTTGATAAATATGAATTGAATTGAATCTGCTTAAATGTGTACACGTTAATGGACCGAACAAAATATGATCTGATTTATTTTACATTTAATGTGCATCAGAAATACAGTGTGTGTAGCCAATGTTTCCAGTGTCTTTTCACTTTTCAGCTTTTGATGAGAGTTTTTAAGACCTAATGAAAACTAATGTTTAATTTATTGATTTCAGACCTAATTGAAGAGAATGAGAGGAGTAAAGAGGAGGAACATCATGTTAAAATTGAGGAAAAAACTAATTTACAGACTGATGGTTTTTTGAAAAGAAGAGACAAGAATCGTTTTACCTGCACTCAGTGTGGGAAGAGTTTTGCAAGCAAAAGCAGTCTTAAGATTCACATCAGGATCCACACTGGAGAGAAACCATTCACATGCCTTCAGTGTGGGAAGAGTTTCAACCAATCATCAAACATTAATCTACACATGAGGATCCACACTGGAGAGAAACCATTCACATGCACTCAGTGTCGGAAGAGTTTTAGCCTATTATCATCCCTTAATCAACACATGAGAATCCACACTGGAGAGAAACCATTCACATGCACTCAGTGTGGGAAGAGTTTCAGTCTGTCATCTTCCCTTAATCGCCACATGAGAATCCACACTGGAGAGAAACCATTTACATGCACTCAGTGTGGGAAGAGTTTCAGCCTATCATCATCCTTTAATCAGCACATGAGGATGCACACTGGAGAGAAACCATTCACATGCACTCAATGTGGGAAGAGTTTCAGCCAATCATCACACCTTTATAACCACATGAGGATCCACACTGGAGAGAAACCATTCATATGCACTCAGTGTGGGAAGAGTTTCAGCTACTCCTCACACCTTAATCACCACATGAGGATCCACACAGGCGAGAAACCATTCACATGCACTCAGTGTGGGAAAAGTTTTAACTGCTCATCACAGCTTAATCAACACATGAGGATCCACACTGGAGAGAAATCATTTACGTGCACTCAGTGTGGGAAGAGTTTTTACTGCTCATCACACCTTAATCAACACATGAGGATCCACACTGGAGAGAAACCATACACATGCACTCAGTGTGGGAAGAGTTTCAGCCAATTATCATCCCGTAATCTACACTTGAGGATCCACACTGGAGAGAAACGGAACCACAGAATTTCACATGCTCAAACTCTAGTGTGACCGCAGCTTCGGTGTGGGAAGAGTTTCAGCAACTCATCGGACCTTAAAGGGCCATGAAACCCCCTCGTTTCAGCAGGGTGTTTTCACACCTCTACTTTGGAAAAAGTCAGAAAAGTGGGCGTGTCCAGCTCTGTTTAGGGGGGAGTGTCGGAGGAAGAAAAGTGGGATGGTGTGGGAGTGTCTATTTGGGCACGCGCGAGTTTCAGAGTCAAAACACACACACACACACACACACACACACACACACACACACACACACACACACACAAAGGAATTAGCACACAAACACAGCAAAGTCTGCCTGATATTTTGATTAGTTTTAAGACAAAACTTAATTTCATATGAATATAATACTGTTACTAACCATATTATTTAAAAATGTATTTAAAATATATGACATTCATTATGAGAGAAGAATAAAATTGTCTCAATTATTTCTTAAACCAAGATTATACCACCAGTTAGGATTTACAAGTCAATTAACAACACAATTAGTGTACAAACTGCTCTCCTTTCACAAACATCTGTCCTCTTCAGGGATTTTCTAGCCTTTTAAATCTAGAAGTTTTTTAAATCTAGAAGTACTAAGTTCTAGAAGACTCTAGATTTTTAAAGATTTGACTTCCACAAACGTAACTAACTCCACTGATAAAATGATATAAGCTAATCTGAGTTTTAGAAGCTTGCTACATAAGGCATACAGACTAAATCTACTTACTGGTCAAAAGCCATTTCTAATGTTAAAATGTGAGTTCTGTCAACTGGTCAAAAGCAGCAAGCTGTTGCTGAAAGTGAGACAACTGTACAATGATTGAGATGAGATGGGCCTCTTTAACCTGAGCTGGCAGCAAGTCAGCAACATATCAGGGCACAGCATCTTTGACTTGAACCCTTGAATGTCAGATGAAAAGTCTGATGCTCTACCGACTGAGTTAACTGGGATCATTGGGGCATTAGCTTAGATTTACTTGTGACGTGTCAGAGTTGCAGCATGCACTAAAAAATGAGCTGTACAAAACAGGTGGCAAGAGGGAGGCGTGATGTCAATGTCACCGTAAGGAATCCTGCAGTGACCTGAATTCGCCTTAACCACTTAGCCACAACTACAAGACTGACTGTACTGCCTTAGCCATTAGCACACCCTGCACTAAAAGGAGGCTGGAGATTATAAATGGCAACAGAGTGCAACGCCAATGCCATTGAAAAACCTGCCGTGACACAGATTCCAACCAGAGTTGCTGCGGCCACAACACAGAGTACTAACCACTATACAATCACGGCAAGCTATGGGACAGCCACTGGACCTTCACTCTCTGTCAAATATCTTTGAAAATGGAGGGCCCCCAGGGCAGTTAGCTAGCATGCGCTGCTGTTTTATTAAAGGTCACAAACCAAATCCTGCACACTGCCTGGGTGTAGTTGGCAGGATCCAAACCTGCGCGGCAAGACACCAACGGATTTCTAGTCCATCGCCTTAACCACTTGGCCATGACTACATGTACTGCCATGGCCTCATGGCTAGTACAAGTATTGTGCATCCAGATGAAGGTCCTTCACTCTCTGTCATATGTCTTTAAAAAATTAAAGGCCCCCAGAGCAGTCAGTTAGCATGCGCTGCCGTTTTAATTTTGTTGTTTTTCCTTTCCAGCACAACCCTTTTCCTAAGAATTAATGGAGTTTTAAACAATCATGGAAGGTCATAAAGTAAGTCCTGCACACTGCCTGGATATAGTCAGCAGGATTCGAACCTGCGCGGGGAGATCCCAATGGATTTCAAGTCCATCACCTTAACCACTCAGCCACAACTACAAGACTGCCTGTACACCCATGTCCTCATGCCTAGTACATGTGTTTTGCATCCAGATGAAACTTTGAGCAAGCGATAGCTCAACAGCATAAGCAGTGGCTCCACAAAAGTAGTCTTACATGCCCGAACGACCCTTGAACCCTTGACCCTCAGATTAAAAGTCTGATGCTCTTCCAACTGAGCTATCCGGGCTCCATGGCAATGTATAGGGTTGTGGTCGGCGCAGACCTTTGCGACACAAAAGTTTACCGTGAGGTGGGGTTTAGGCTTATGGTTGGTGTAGATGTTACTAAAACACAACAGTTTACTGTGAGGTAAGGTTTATGGTTGTTGTAGGTGTAGACATCAGTACAACACAATAGTTTGGACTCCATGTCATGTAGGAGACATTAAATAGATCAATGATAACTGCAGAAGGTCTTTCTGTTGTTGTGGCAATGAATGGAGTCTTAACAATTGAAAAGATTCCTTCCATGCCTTAGAAGCGTGACTTGATCAATGCTTATCTACACAGCATGCTGCATCAAAGGTCCTGTTGCTCATATCGAATCCCTAGTCTTCCACACTTTAGAAAACGTAAACATTCAGGACGTGCCATTTGCACAGCCTGCGCATGGAGACCCCAATGGACTTCTAGTCCATCGCCTTTTTTATTTTTTATTTATTTATTTTATATCAAAAATTTTAAACAATTACATTCAGGTAATAATACATGTACATTATATAAAGCCATTTGAACATATGTATTCCCACTTGAAAAGTCTTTTTCAAATACATCAATTTTGTTATTCATGTTACAATAATAGAAAAGAGCATTATGCAGTTTAGACATTTTTCTTTGAAATGATTTACACACAGATATTTTGCTATTATTTTCTTTAACAATATTCCTTCTATTCCATATCACATTTCTTGCAACTGTTAAAATGAAGTTTATGAACCTTGTGTTTTTACCTTGTAAGACTGGATTTTACTCAAACAACTATCCCTTGCAATAAAACCATAAAAACTCTGGAATCTGGAAGAGGGGACAGGAGAACACAATCAGAACATTCCTTTTACCCGCATCCATCTCCCTTATTGATGTTGTTTTTTAATTATAATCATTCAGGTGTGACTGGTAAACTGGTGAACTGTCTTTAAACTTCATTTCACCCCAAAACATTGGGTAACCCTTTTAAGTTAATTAACTCTAAATACAGAGTCAGATATTTGGGTGCTAAATATTCATGAGTGTTTCACAGATGTTAATGGGTATTTAAAGAATCTTGGCAAAACACTTGGGGTTTCTGTTGCCAGACTTCCCACACAGCCTCTGTGTTTCTCTTCTTTTGCTAGGTATGCTGACTTTATGAAATTATTTTATAACTTTGTATTTGCATTTATCTGCGTTTATATGTTATGTTAATCAGTTGTGTTTGGTATTCAATTTTTGATTTATTCTAAGTGTTGTTTTACCTGCCTGGCAAAATAAATGTTAACCCTTTTTGATTAATTCTGGAGTTTTGTGAATTCATTGTATCCAGTAGATTACGAGGAGTCTTCGTTACCCTTATAGTACGGCATAAATTAAATTGATTAATAGGCGCATTTGATTATACGTAGCCATAGTGTGCCGATAACATGTAGACCTTTTAGTCATTTAACAACTGATAGCAGCAAGTTGCAAGGGCTTGGCTAAAGATGTGTTCTTTTAGGACTAGGTGAGCGTTATGCAACCAGCCTATCTAAATATTAGTTAATCCTGCATCCTCTTACTATTTTTAGAGTGTCGACATATTGTCCGTGAGAAGAAGCGCAAACCCGGGGCATGGAACTCTGAGCGACGTTGGTCCCTAATGAACGTACAATTTAGAATATCGGATCCCAGAAAATATCAAATTCTAAATTAAAATCACAACCAACAACATGATCAGCTAAAAACGTAAATGATGAATTTATAAGATTTAAATTGGAGTCAGATTAAAATACGCATCAAGTCAGATATAAAATTGGTCAACAAATTTTAATGAAATAAAATAACTCTTTCCAGAAGCGTCCGAAAAGGCATACACGCAGAATTCCTTCGACCAAAACACTGGACTGTAATCTTACAACCTTCTGTTTTACAACCAGATAAAAATAATGTTTCCCATTCCTCATCAATGACCTAATTTTCAATCCCCATTTCATTTATCATTTCTTTAATTTTTCCAATAAAACATTCTAACTCCTTTGCAACCGCATAGCAACACCTTAGCAACCAAGCTGTATAAAAGTAAATGGTTTATTAACTAAAGATTTTAAAATAACAAGATCGATAAGACAAGGATGTCCAATGTCAGCACTACTATACACACTTGTATCTGAAACATTGGGATTAGCAATTGATAATGAAAAACAAATACGAGGATTATGTATAAAAGGAACAGACTTAGAACAAAAAATATTTCAGTATGCTGATGATACCACTTTAATAGTAAAAGATATTAAAATGATTGAAGAAGCAGAGGAAATTTTAAACAGATATTGTAAAGGAACAGGAGCAAAAATTAATAAGGAAAAAAGTAAATACATGAGAATGGGAAAAACAAATGTTTTACCAGAAAAAAATCTCATTTACAGAGGAGAAAATTGATATGGAAATTTTAGGTATAAGAGTTGGTAAAAATGAAAATAAAACAAGGAATTTAGTATGGTAGTAAATTTTAAAAGGAGTGGAAACAAAGATTACATTTCTGGAAAAAGGTTTGTTTTTAAAGGAGAAAGTTTTAGTTTTAAATTCCTTATTTTTATCAAAAATGTGGTGTTTTAGGTACAGTGAGTTTGCCAATGAGTGTGTATAAAAAGATAAAAGCTATTGTATTAGATTTCTCATGGAAAGGAAAACCTTCCAAAATAGCTTATGACACCATAATTGGTAAAGTAGAAGAAGGAGGCTTAGGTTTAATTGATCCACTGATCAGAATGAAAAACATAAGAATAAAAACTGTAAATAAATATTGGAAAGAAGAAAAACATGTGGAAAGATGTGATGAGATATTTTTAAATAAATGTGGAGAAATACAAGAATAAATATTATGGATGAAGCCCAAAGAGAATATGATGAATAAATTTCCAGAATTCTATGAAGAAGTTATCAAAGCATGGGGAGATTTTAGAAAGCATATTGATT